ACAGTTCTTTGTGTTCGTAAAGGAGATGACAAGTGGGGATTTGTTTAAGGGATTAAAAAATAAATGAGCATGTTTGATGGTTGGTTTTGACGTAGGGCGCTTTACGAGGAAACCACAGCAGATTTTACTCCTAATCCCTGCAAACTTTTAGAAGGTCCTTAACCTCTGAAAAAGGTCCTAGGTCCTGTTATACCAATGCTGCAATGTGGAGGAGGGTTTTTTTCCGTCTCACAGTTTGAGGTTTGAACTTGATCAATGGTACCAGGTGGAAAAAGTGTATTTGACCTTGGGTCAAGGTCAGAACTTGATGGTTGATCCCAACTTGTGCCACACGTTTCCACATTAGGGATACAAGGACCGACGAGGACAGCCTGGTCAGCGGGGAACCAAACCGGGTTCGTTGAAAGGCGCCTCACGGTGATCAGATAGAAACACTTAGAAGACGGAGAACCAGCAGTAGGACACTGAACGACCAATAGAAACCACAGACGGGTGAAAACGAAGAATGTGTCTCGATAACCTACCGAAGGATCGAATAGTGCCTGTGCTTAAAACTGGAACTATTCAATTTATATTTGATTACCAACCAATTTTTTAAGTTTTCCTTTTTTCAAGGATATTACAAAACACATTTCCAAGCCGGACATCAGACAACAGTCTAGTATGGTGCCACGAAATGACCATGGGAGTGTGTTCTCTCTGGAGGGACATTTGTGGGGAAGTGCGCTGTTTGTTCTTTCCCAAGAGGATCACATCTCTTTCCCAGGAAGGATGACAGTTTATGAGGGGGTGCGGACGGACAGAACGATTGGGGAAAGTGGAATCCCACAGTGACAAGAGAGCTGGGATTCCCTTGTGTACAGTAGTGAAGACAGAGGAGCAAATTCATAGAACGAATGGCCGGAAAATAACAGACAGAAGGCAAGACTTGAAGGGCAAAGGGGGGAAATAAATCCTTGTGAGTCTCGAGGAATAACAACAATACTTTGGAGTAAACACGACATACATGCTCTTTGACAGTTTTCTTTCTCTTAACTCCAGTCGTTCCCTTCAGATTTTGTGTCCCTCTCGGATTGAAAAAGGACAAATGCAAATATGTACCAGTTAGGATTACAAAATAACATCCTGAAAAACAGCTGGCGGAAGAACTTAAATATGAGCTACTTTCTAGCAGATCAACATCAAGTGTTTTTGGACCACTGTGGTTTCAAACAACCGTTATGCTTCACTGTTGACCCCAAGCTGCCAGCTTCCCAACGATGGAGGAGCCTGAGCTATGCTCCCTTAACCATCACAGTGTCATCTTGTTGCTAGGAAACACATGAAAAGACGTTTGACCTTTCAGGCTTCATGTTGCCTGTTTGCCATGTTGCTAGGTGGGTTTCTCATGCCCATGCTAGCAAAACCTCAAAACTTTGGATTGCATGTGATGTTAAATACAGACAAACCACATCTGTACGCCTGAAAGCAGCCATGATATGTGCATTTCGTCTTCAGAACTCGAAGCAAAAGTTCAGAAGCTGTGGCCTGGTCAGTGGCTTCTGTAGACGTCCCTTTGATTCCGAATATAGACTTAGAAAGGCTTCCTGGCCCGGACAGAAAGAGAAGGGAGTGAAAAGAGGGGGGGGATCAAATGGGATAGAGGTTTGTTTTGTTGTCTCCTCTCTATCCGTTGAAGGTTCATGGCTGATGTATCCTGCTGTTTAAGCTCACCCGGGCTGTGGAAAAAAAGCGCCCGATGCGAAGGGAGCCATCGCACGCGGCCACGGAGCGAGACCGATTCTAAACAGAGAACCAGCGGATCAGGGCGGCTCGTATGTATTGTCAAAGCTACTTTTACAGTTGGAGCTACTGTACGACTGCTCATTATTTATCCTCAGTCCAAATATTCAGTGTGCTGTCCTTTACTTCCCTCGTTCAGCTAATGCAAAATGCCATATCGTAAAACTGTTGACTGTAAGTAGAGCGAAGGTTAAAATCACTGATCTCGGGCATCAAGGCGACACTCGGTGACTAACGATGACTAATTGGTCGGACAAACCCTAGTTTCCAGCATAAATGGGAACCTACGATAATAGCTGGCAAACATGTTGAGATTGGAGGTGGTCCTTTCGCAGAACTGGTTCCCCCAGTTTGAGCTTTCCAAAGAAAATAACTTCAGAACCAGTCACTCATTTACTCTCACTGTGCAGCACGGGAGAATTAATTGTATGAACAGTTAATTAGTTATCATGAATTAATAGTTTCGTTCTACAAAGCCAAGGAGACTGTTTTGTCCTTTCTTTTAGCATTGTGTTGTTTAAACGAATATCCTGGCGTTCATTCTGTCGGGCATACCATGAATTCTGCAAAAAAGGGTTATGTCAAATTGTGGCACTGGAATATAAACAAAACAAAGTTTATTACCGAATTCTCAAGGAAAAACTCCCCCAAAAAGAAGTCTCATGGGGGGATTTGCACTCTTATTAGCTAGAACCACATCTGATAAATAAACTCTGTTTATACTCATTAAAAATAACCTCACAAGTTATGAATGGAATGTCGCCTGACCAGTTCGCGTGAGCGAGATGTTTCTCGGGCCGGCCTTCTGTGTAATGTTTACAGAAGCTTCCAACGGGGGCTCTTTCTAAATCTCAGCCCAGGCGGCCATTGTCAGCGTGTAATATTATCTCCGACGTGCGGTGCGTCACCTCCTCGGCGTTTGTTGATCGGTGGCTCCCAGGGGCAACCAGAGTTTAACAAGCCACCCGAGAAGTGGCTCCCAGATCCAGCGCTTGGCAGAAGGCCAGCCGGGGACTTCGGTCAAGTCGCTTTATTTTCTCCAGAAGGGATGTTTTCCCCCGACGTGAGCGGTGGACACACATGACTTGTGTGTAATAATCCAATCAAAAAGAAAAAAAAGGTATATGCTCGGGTTTTAAGCCAAAACTGTCATCGCGTCGGCAGTGCGGAGAATCCTGTGTGAGACGCACAACATTGGGGCCAACCTTGACATTCATGGAGTGTTTTTCCTCGACGAAACAAGATATTCATGCCATGGGGACAGGCCTTATTAAGTTTTCCACGGCTTCGTGAATCTCCAGACGCGGAGCTTCCTTGTGTCTGGGAATGTAATAACGCCGACGTGGCCGGTCTAACGTGCCACATCCATCACGAGCATTAGCATGTCTTCGTAGCGCGCAGGGCCTCCTTCGTAGGTCCACCTTGTCATGCACGAGACGTGCGCTCTCTTTAATACAACGCCGATGTTTGGAGCTGGAACACCCAACAGCACTTTAAAACCTGTCCAGACGCCCAGAGAAAGGAAAGCTTATGAAAGCACAATCGAGTAATCAAGTGGATGTTGGATGTTTACTTCCTACCTGCGGCTTCCTGCTGCAGGTGGGCGCCTGTGTCTCCATCTCTTTTCACCCCCTTGCGCCCCCCCCCACCACCCAGAATCAACCCCTGTAACGCATATCCTGTAACCTCATTTGGTAGCATGGTGACAGTTTCCCAGATACCAGCCAGTATTGGTTTCCCTTCATCTTGTGGCCGAGACCCAAACCCCAGCGTCTAATTTCTTAATGGATCCCTGCTGGAAGCCGCCGTCCCGACTGTGCGCCCGTGTAATTATTTGTGCTCAAGCAAAGGAACTGGGAGAACTGGGCTGCCTAACTCAGGGCCCTTCGGCCGATTTCCCTGTTGTTTGCTTTCCACAGGACCTCGGTGTCATTCACCCGCAGAAACCCGCAACCCCAGTGGCTGACAGAAGAATTTGGTTGATTGACTGAGTAATTTACTTGAACGATAAGGTGAGGTTTATCTCAAGTGTAATCAGTTTGAGCTGGGAATTCGCAAGAAAGGGTTAAATTTCTGAAATCCTGTCTTCACTAGGCAGTGTCAAACGCCCCCCCCAGAAAAGCCAACTTGTGAGGACAGAGCAAGGCCCAAAAGGAAACGTCTGTGTAAGTGTAGCGTACCATGTAGCTCGGAGGAATTTTGACTCAGAGCCGAAACTTGCACAACCTGTTCTGTGTCCAATTATTTTAATGCCACAAGCTCGCCTGCCCCCCCCCCCCCCCACATCCCCCACACACATACACACTTCCGAGGAATATTAACTCAAGTGTCATGACACAGGTACATTAGTTAATATTCCATTTAGCAGTTTAGGACAGTTTTTTAATAGAATTGCTGACAGGGAGGTCATGCTGCCGCTCAGTGCAGTTTGCTGAGACTGGGAGCTTAAGGCTGCCAAAGCCTCTGGGAGCTGGAGATAAGGGAAAAACCAAATAAAGCTGCTTTGCACTTCGGTGTGAGACAAAGTTACAAGTGCGCTTAAGGTGCCCGGATAAAGTGATTATATCTGTCTGGAACTAACTAACTAACACTAAGTGTCCTTTGTGTGCAATCTGGTTACTTTGTGCGTCACATGTCATGCAGTGCGAGTGCGACGCATTCAGAAGACATCCGCGCTCCCATCAATGCCAGTTTGAAATGAGAGCGTTTCCAGCGCCAAGTCAGAACCCGGTCTGAGGAAACAAAGTGCTGCGCCCCCACGGCCAAAGAGACCCAGCTTCTCATCTTCCTTATAATGACTTTCCCTCTGTAGTCCGTCTGAAACTCCAATAATCACATGAAAGATAAGAAGCTAGACAGATGGATAAAAAAATAAAATTAGAATTCAGCAAACCATCGTATCATCTGCAGGGCAGGAAATTCAATTGTCTCCTTTTGGATGGGGGTTATTTTTTTATATTAACTTCAGCCAAAGTGTGGCTTTCCTCAGAGTTTTAGTAACATGATCCCTCATATATCATGACACATGGCATGTAATTCTGAATATCATCCTAAATGGCATTTCTCCCTGCTCGCAGCGTGGGAAGTTTTCAGGGTAAAGCCACCATTGGCCAGAATTAGAATCATCCTCCTGGTTTGGGGTTAGAAAAAAAAAAAGTGACAGAATGACAAAGTGAACTATAAGGGTAATTTACCATGCCACATTACACTCAATCCCATTAAGAGACTATTCTTAATTTAATTAACAAGGAAAAAGCAACACAATGTTTACGTCATGTCTCATTAAGGTTCCCTAATGGGGTCGGTGAACTTCATTCCAGAAAAATTGAAACAAGTTAGTGCATCAGGGTTTTCTTTCGTTGCATTTAAGACTTACAGTGTGAGTGAGAGAAAAAAAAAATCACAATATATTATTATACCATTTCCACAACAAAAATGAACAGCAACCAAAACAACATAAGATAACAAAACTGCAGGCAGTGTAAAATACAAATAACAAATCAGCATGACTCTTAAAGCTAAAACAACAAACCTGTTTTGGGGACTTAAAAATGTGCCCACAGAGCAAACCCACGCGTGTCCCACATGTGGCATCCCATTGGGCATTAACAGGGGTTTGCCTCGGCCCTGAATGATCGCAAAGACATTCAAATTGCTTTGGTTTTCAGTCCAGCACCTGGGCTACTAATCTCTTGAGTGTACATGTACGTTCAAACTATTTATCAACAGGCCGTGTTTGAGTTAAGGAACTTACATCAGTCAAAACATCGCAGTAAAAAATAAAATAATTAAAAGCTTTGTCATTAACAGTAGGCGGAGCTCAGAATTTGGCATGGAATCAAATTGCACTTGCGTTAACACTTAAACGTACCACCTTAAATAGTTAAGACACTTGAATCACTCCGCATGAGAGATGCAATTCCCCAAGTGGCTCCTAAATCCTAATCTACTCCTTCACTTCGATCAGATTGTTGGCGTTGACCCGACACAGAGCTCACGTTGACATTTTTCACAGATAAAGACGTCGTGATAATCAGCTTATGCTGCTACTCCTATTCCCGCCCCTGTCTGCCAAGCGCTTCCCCCATCTGTGAAAATAAACTGCTGAGGTATCGGATAATAATAAGAGCCCTTTTTAAAAATAATTTGACCTGCATGATAACATATTAAGACTTAAAGAACTTAAGATGTTGGGACATGAAGTGGCAACTGTTTGAGGAGGTGTGTCCAAACCACACCGTGATGATGCTGGTGTTTACGGCGTCAAAGCGAAGGACACATTGTTAAATCTTTCTTCACATCATATCTCAGTAGTCTCAGTGGCCTCCCTATCCAAAGCAGTAGTATTCATCCGATTCGGCCCGCAGTTTCAGCGGCGATTTGCCCAACTCGTCCCCGACCGTCTTATCGGCGAAGCGGTCGAGGTCTGTGGGTGACGGGTCGTCCGAGAGGTCCTCCTCCAGAGTGTCCAAGTAGCTGCCCACGGACACGCTGTCCAGCCCGTCGCTGTTGCCGCCGTTCAGGCTGTTGAAGCTGCCCCGCAGCGACGTGCCGTCCTGGCTGTCCGACAGGCTGTACAAGCTGCCCGACAGGCTGCTCTCCTGGCTGGCCACGCCCCCTTTCTCTTCGATCATCCAACGGATGGACTCGATGCCCTCGTTGATGCACATTAGCTGCTGCATCAGCTTCACGTCGATGGCTCGTAGATGGGCCTGCGGGATGGAGAGCAGCACCCGGGGGTCAGGTCATAGAGGGTGTGTACAGTGCTCAGATCAAAATGATTTACATTTCTACAGCTTGAGAACAACTAGGCTCCGAATGCGGATGAAGATCATCTGACATAAAGCTCTGGCTCATCTACTTAATGAGCCCTCGTTTCCTCGACAATTGTTGCCATTCTCATACCCTCATATGGGCCGAACACTATGTGCTATTATGTTTAGACTATCGGGCTTTGTTGTGATCGGCGAGACTTAAGTATGTGGCTCCGGAAAAAAGGACACCGTAAAAGATCCAGGAAACCAGCTTTCCTCTAGGATTCGGAGAGATATGCCTACTTTACACAGTATGGCCATTGATTTAAACCCTGCCATGACAAACCGTGCCATTGACCGGGGGGGGGGGGGGTTGGAGGACAGCATATGGGGTCAATCAAAGGGATTCCTGTGTGAGTAACAGTGGGTCAGAATGAAAATACACACACACACTTTGGAGACGAGCAGATGAAGTCCAAGCAGTGATCTCGTGTTAATAAGAAGGCACCAGCGCGTCGGGGCCCACAGGACCAGTTTGGGAAACACAATCAGCGCTGAATCCTTTTGTTTCCGTTGGATAGTAATTCGCTTAATCCATCATATGAAACTAACACGAGCTGAACCATAACCTTTTTCTTCACGGCACATAGTTCATCTGCTTCAGTGGGTCGGCCCCTCGAGTAGCGTCCAATGTGGCTACACACACTGTGTGTGTGTGTGTCTCCCAGATGTGTGGACACCAAAACAGAGCAGCCGAATTATATTAGAGATGAAATTGTACTGAAAAGCATGCGACAGTGTTGTAGGTCACAATTGTGTCTCTGCCTCATGAATGTCAGCCCACCGACACAAACTCTCCGGAGGAGGGGGGGGGGGTGGAGGGGGAGGGGGGGTGGTGCCAGTGTGCTCATTCAACTTGGCCATCTGTTAAGGAATCCTAATACCTTCCATGACCTAACCAAAACTTAAAATGAGGGGAGGTGGGGGGTATTTCCTGAGTTGAGGGGGGTTAATGAACAATTGGCTCTGCGGACGTCGGTGCGCGTGTGTGAATGCCGCTTTAACGTTATGGAGAAACATGCGCCCATCGGTTGAACTTTGCATCTAACAACCATTTGAGTACTGTATTTACATCCGGCATGGGCATTTGCTTTTGGCTCAGGCGGACAAAAAATGAAAAGCATTAGGAGGTATAGAGAGAGAGCATGACTTAACCTGACATTAAACCATGCATAATTAGCTGGTTTAATTATACAGTCAGGATTTATTTCCTGTTGCGTTTGAGGACAAAAACAAGACTCGGGACGACTGTTATTTAACTAATCAGGTTGTAATTATAAGTAAAGTTACTGACAACTTGATTGCACAGGACAGAAAACCAAAAGCAGCTCACCATTTCTTGTTTTAGGAACAACATTTTGCCCTCCAGTCTCTTCAGGTCCGCGGTGTCAGCGTACGCTTTGCGGGTCCCTGAATGCGGCGCGCCGGACTGGTCGGGATGCTTTCCCGCAGCAAGAGAACGAACCAGGCTCTCCGGGACCTTAAGACCCAATTTGGTCTCTATATCCTTCAAATCTGGCAAGGCGCTGTTGTTATCCTCTTCCATTGCAGACGCTCAGAGAAGCCCCACTGGGGAGCGTCGAGGGGGGGGAACTGAAGCGCGCGCCGCGCTAAAAGTTGCACGACATCCGAGGAAGAGTTGTTTCAAAAAAGTCGTAACGAGCGCTTTGGGTCTCCGCGGTTTTACTTCTAGAAGGCGAACGGCGTGAAATGAGCGGACGGTGACGCCTCGCGCTGACTCTCCCGTCGACCCGCCGGTGCGCCGGCGGACCGCCCCATGCGAGCGGCGGACCAATGGGGAGTTAGTTTAACGACAACGTGCTCCCTGTTGGCTCCTCCCACAGCAGCGCATCCTCCGAAACCTGACACCGGACAGGTGGAGCGACACCGGGCACGAGGTGAAAAAAAGGCTTTAAAGGCCTAAGGTGTTGAAATGTAGGAGTCCATCCGGAAGGGAAATGGCTAGACTTGTTCTCAAGCCTCAATCCTACAGGGCGAGCACTTTAACTTTAACGTGTTACTGTAAAAAGCTTCCAGGTGGGTGATCAATGCAGGTAAATTAGGTAAAAAGCATGCATGTAAAGCAAGTGAGATCCCACGAACGACGATGCGTTCTTGAATATGTTGTTTCTGCAGCGTCCATCAATGTTAAATGTCAATCTCCGAAAAAGGCGGACACGACTGTGTGGAATTACAATTAAATCATTTGCCATTCACATAGATCCAAACACATTGCGGCAAAAGTATGAACGTCAAAAACACCAATGGCCGTACGGCATTGATTTGATAAAATAAAGACAGAAGGTGCGTATGGTTTGAGCATACGATTCAGAAAAACCATTGGATTAGAACTTTATAGACATTTTTCTTTCAAATGTTACATTTGACCTGGTAATTTTGATCAATTTATCTTAACACATCTTTTAAAATACGATCCTTCCTCACCTCAAATTATATCTTTTACCAACAACACGAAGAGTTTTAGAAATTGAACTCTTGCACCCCTTTGTGGGCGTTATGCCTCCCTTAGCCTACTAGTGTTTTAGAAGCATTTCTCCTTCACTTATTAAATGGTCTACAAATATGGTGGAACTTGTACCCCTCTATGTTTTAATTCATTTGTTTCACTGTATTCCTTAATAAAGTGTTAAAAAACAGTCAGAATCAACCTTCTTTACACTTTATCCACTTATTAAAATCGGAACTACAGGAGGCAGCATTGCTGATCCTGACAGCACAAGTTCAGCACCACCTGCTGTCATAACACCAACACTTCAGTTGGCCACGGTCTCTTTTATTTGACAACATATTCCAATTTTCCCAACCCTGAATCTTTGCAAAACTATAATGTCAATCAGAACTGCACACATCTAACATTTTCAATGACAAATGCATCTTCAATGAGTGCCGCACATCTGTTCTATCTGTAACGAAAAATGCAACACCACCATATTAGCTACATGCACATGAGCAAAGTCAACATTTTACCGCTGTGTCATTAAAAAAAATCTACACATGCTCTGGAGTGACGACACCTCTGTGCTTCAACAAACCGCAACGCTGTGTCACTTGAAAAGTAAAGAGGATGGAGAGGCTCATGTTCAAATGGCGCACTTAGACCACGGATTGGCTCTTGGCGTCGTCGTAGCGCTGGTAGTGGTCCCCGAGCAGAGGCTGGTGGCCCTCCATCTTGTGCGACCTGGCACGCACGGCACACGTGGTGCCGGCGAAAACGACGGCGACGAGCATGAGGGCGGCGACTATCGCTACGGTGATGATCTCCGTCAATGTTAGAGCTTGACCTGGAGAGACAGAAGAGGGTGATTATTATCTTGGTCGTCTGGATTCATTTAAAAAGCAATATCGAAGGCACACCCACAGGAAATGGGGCGAGTAATAGAAATCACCCAGATGGGATACCTGGCCATTCAGCTTCATAGGAGTAACCCAGATTTTCCGGGGCAGTCACAAACATCTCGGCATTAGTCACTGGTGGCCAGAAAGGCACCATGTTGTAGCCTCTGTTGTGACCAATGGGGGCGTTTTCTTGAGGATAGAGAGTGGAATCTGTCGAGAAATACTAAAAGTTAGCAGATTAGATGCCCAAGCTATGTGTAAAAGCAGTGCAATGAGCAGGTTTTATAAAGTGGAAGTGTTAAAAAAAAGGAACCTGGACTGTGTCTTCTCAACCACTCGTCAAATATAGCGTCAGTGTAAGTGTGCAGCAGGACGAAGATGGGGTCATTGGGAGAGAGGTGAGTCTGTCCTCCCGTCCCATTCAGGAAGAGGTGGGCCAGATTATGGAGGCTCCTCACAACAGGGTCGTAGTTCCCCTTGGGGGCGCTGTAGCCTGCCGAAAAAGCACGAGAACTCACGGAAATGCATAGAAAATTTACTGTATGTCATTGTAAAAATGACAAAGAGAAAAGACAGTTTGACGCAGCGTTTGCAGTCGCTCACCTTCGATTGTGTTTCGGAAGCTTTCGGAGGAGGTGGAGTAATAGGGCGGTGTGTCAAAAGTGTTGACCTGCAGACAGTCTGCCACATCCTGGGGCTCTGGGAGACGCTGGACCATCGGCCTGTTGACGTTCCCTGCCGGGTTCCTTCTGATGGGAGACGTCTCAGAGCCTGGGAGAAGACACAGACCAGAGGTACACTGCAGCCATTTCTCTGCACGGTCACCTCAAACAAAGGCCACTTTAACAACAGCATATATGAGCATTTGCCACCTGGGGCGGGAGGGGGAAACAACAAGTCTTACTGTTGCAGATGGTTCCCAGTGTGTCGTAGTCCTCTACGCTCTCGCATATGACCCTCCACTGGGCGAAGAGGGAGTTGCTGCTGAGGGAATTCATGTCAAAGCTGCTCCTGGCTCCCATTAGGTCGTCCGTGCAGATGTCACAGGTGCTCCCACCGATAGCAAAGTTCCAGTAGGGCAGCGCGAACGAGGGGTCTTGCAGCATGTCCTGGTTGTTCACAGAACACGTAGCACGGCCTTGTTAGTTGGTGAATTTGAGGCTTCTTTTGATCATGTTGTTGGCAATGTGTATCCAGCGAACGTGACAATGAATGTTTAGTGTCACATTTTGTCATGGACTCAATGCACAGGATACGTCTGGTTTCACCTTCACCAACACTAAAGGCTGTTGATGACAGCGTCTGTTTACAATGCACAAATTCATCTGAATATTGCTTCTGTTGAAAAGCCTTTTTGATGAAATTTTTTGGTTCTTTGATAATTTAACAAGAAGTATACAATATGTTGAAACAATGAAAAGTAGCATGCAACTACTGGGGCAGCAAAGCAATAAGATGATGGATTAAGAAACATTTCTGGAAGTTTCTGGATAGAAAATATTTCCGTTGGCGGTTGAAATTGCTTTTCCACAACCTTTTTTTTCAAATTGAATTGCAAATAACTCTTGATTTTAGTTAAATAAAAGTCAAATATGATGAACAAAAGACTGGTGCATTTAGTCATTAAGTCGTCTCGTACCTGCATGTCGCGCTCGAGCTGCAACAGGTGGAACCGGTGCCATGTGACGAAACCGGGCCCCTCGTGGGAGAAGTCCACCCCCCCGAAACTGGCCTGCCCGGCACCCAGGAACGTCTTGCTGACCGAGAAGTAGTGTGTCCACACGAAGTAATTGTAGATGGTGACGTTCTCGAACTGCACGGTGTTCCCGTCGGGCCCGAAGATCTCCGTGTAGCGCCGCGTGGCGATCACCAGGTCGGGGTGCACGGTGCGCTTGGCCTGGTCCAGCGCGCTGATGAACGCCCGCTTCTCATCCGCGCTGAGCTGCATCACGTTTCTTCTTACTGGGGGATTATGGAGGAGGGAAAGTGGATTAACGCAGCTGGTCATGCGTTAATTGGGGATTTTTTTTTTGCGAGTGGGGAAAAAAGTAGAGAAATGCGTGTCGCAGTTCCGAGCGTTTCCTTTTTTTTTTTTCAATCAAATGCCCTTTTCTAATTTTCAGCGCCCTAGCTGTTTCAAATACGTTCAGCTTGTTTCATAGCACAATAATGGGAATTCATTACGGTAAAATAAACCTCCCTTGCCTTGTAAAATGGCCAAATTGGCAATAAATTAGTCAAAAACAGTTCATTTTTCTCTGTACATAAGTGCCACTGAGCAATAATACATAATCCCACCAGCTTTCTATTTGCTAGATATGCTCTCCCGTAATTTATAAAACGATATTTGCGCACTCACCGACAGGAACGCGCAGGTCGCAGTTGGCCCCGGTCCAGCCGTGCCTGCAGCGACCGCAGTTATAGCCGCTGAAGTTGCCGTTGCACTGGCAGGTGCGGTTGAAGTAACGCACCGGCCACCGTTCGCGGTCGTCGCGTCCGTCGTGCGGGTACTGCGGACCGTGGGGGCGCGCGTCCGCCGCCACGGACACGCATTGGCCGCGGCCCGCGCTCAAGCCGCACGGGTCGCCGGGGAGCCCAGAGGGGGCCGGGCAGCACTGTCCAGACCGCAGTCCCTCGGGTGTCACGCACTCTCTGGGGAACTGAGCGCTCACGAGCACCGCGCCCACCAGCACCAAACAACAGCAGCGCCACATTTCCCCCCCAGCCCGCCCAAAAAACACAAACTGTGGTCAGACTTTACGCAGACTTTACGCACGGCCGATTCCGTTTCACTTAAGTGCAAGTATGCTCTTTAACAAACGTTATCCCAAATGAATCTGAATCACTTGCAACACAACATTCATCAAACGTCCCCTGCAACGCGTCCAGGCCTGTGCTTCCACTCACCCCAAACCAGTGAAATGTGAACCTTAAATACCAGATTAGCGCATGACCAGATTTCCCCCCGCGTGATGCCATCACACAGCAGCATATTTCCTCCTGGGCATGGGGTGAGAGAAGGTAGTCTGGCCCCTGATGAAAAACTCACTGGACCTCTAAGGTTTCCTAAATGTTGCCGAAATTGGCGAGAGTTTAGTTTGTAAATTGTGTCATATAAAGACAAAAAGTATGATTAATTAACATATATGAACTTTAATATCTGTGCCTCATTTTGAGCGGGCCTTGGTGACTCCCATATGGAAAGGGATGTGTTATGAAATAGCCTAGTAGCCTAGACACAACACTTCTTTATAATCAATTTTCATTTAAAGCCTAAACTAAAAGTTTCTCCACAATTGAACACCAAATAGACAAACCAATAAAATAGCCATAAATGGGTCACTTTGAATGTCGTGATTGTGCTTTCCTCCAGGGCAATAAGATACCCTAATCTAATCTTGAAAAGTTTCAGAGGTTCATGTGTTTGGGCGGGTGATTACAACTTATGTCATACTGACTTTAGAAGTCCTTTCTTTCTCTCCAACACCTCCTCCTCTCCTCCACCTCAGGGCTGCTTGTGCTGCCATGAGCATGTGAGACGTGCAGCCATGAGGCCATTTACTCCACAAAGCCACCTTGTAGAAATGTGCAATGACAAAACAATGAAAAGATGTTACGTGAATCTTATTTAAAATAAAGCTTTTAAATATACATATTTTTTCCTGTTGGGAATATATATAATTATATAATAATAGTTGTCAAAGCAGCCACATTTTTAAATAAAACATTCCCAAATGTTTATGAGGCACACCGATTTTTTTCTTCCATTAAGTTAGAAGATTTCATGTCAAGAAATGGGTCATTTTTGATGCAGCAGAGTCAGACACATGCTGACTTTTAGTCCCTAGTATTTGATAAACTCCAGCAATGGATCCTCCAATCTCTGCGATGCAAATCCATACCCGGATGGACGAGAGAGTAGTAGAGTTGGCTGCCACAAGGCATCCATGTTTAGTGTTTAGGCCCTTCAGCGTGAGACATGTCAGAGTTATCAAAACGACAACTTGAAGGTAAATTTGATCACCTCTGACAGGAACCAGCAATTATGATAACTCCATCATGACATGATTGCATCATTAGACCCTTCATGCCTGACCAACTCTACTCATCAAATTCCAAACTATGTTGTCCATTCTTCACCTTTAAAACAATCCTGAGAAGTGACATCATCGGTGTTATTTTTCCCACGATAGGCTGCTATTGTTGACAAAACCTTAAGCCAACAGCAGCGAGTCGTTTATCCGGGGCAAGATCAGCGAGGCCTTTTTCTTTTTCAAACTCCAAACTCTCACACTCATCCCATCCTTCACACCAGGTCGCAGAGAGGACACCGCGCAGTTTGAACACTTCAAAACCAGACTTTTTTTGGTAACAAGTGAGGCGGCCGATAAGGAGGGATCCTTACAGAACATAGACGAGCCACTTAGAAATCCATAATGGCAGCTCAACAACAATGCAGTACTAAATATCTATTTTATATATAGAAAGAAAAAACATAAAAATGGCCAAAGACATTGTTTAAGATGAAACCAGAGGTTTCCGTTCCTTTTCGGACTTGTGTGTTTGGACGGGGCCGTGGTCCGTATGTCTATGAGGTGTTAAAGGTTTCCCCAAATAGTGATAGTATTTGCATGGATGGAAATAACTGTTCACTCAAAGTCTCAAAGGGATGAATGCTTATTTCAGCAGAATATGAAGCAGAACTTTGCTTTTTCCTTATTTTCTCACAACTCCCTCCATCTATCTTGTGACCCCCCCCCCACCCTCTAGGGGGAAATAGGATGAACCAGATAGTGTCAGGATTAATTTGTTACTTGTAAACTTGGAACCAAAATTATTGATATTTAAATGTATCCCTCAGGCAAACAATCCCCCCCCCCATAACAAAACAGCAGTTTTGCAGGGCGAGGGGAGTCTTTTTCCAATGTGATCCTTCACAATGAAAGGCAAAGATTCCGGACCAAGTCACATGTGTTTCACGTTGCCTATCATTATTCCGGTTGCATGTATCGTTTCATAATTGGGGCGTGAAGGCGAGGATTACACAAAGCTCGCGCTAAGCTCATTCTCATGAAGTACTCGAACAATGCAGCCACATTCCTCATGTTTGTGCGGTTCCCATGTTCCTCTTGAGAATTAGCAGGAGACTCATTTGCTCGCCATTGGCATTATGTTCATTTAAACATCACTATTGACACTATTTGACTGGAAACTAGGTCTAGTTTTCCACGATTCTTTTTAAAATGTCGAGGGTTGAACGTTAACAGTTCTAATGATCAGTTATTTGGACCATAGAGCCTTATGCTGGCCGTCAATACATTGTGTATGATTTTTCAGTGGGTATTAAATATTTCAAAGAGCAATTACTCGGAAAATGCACTGCAGTGTGTTCACAGTCACGTTTGCGTTGGGGAGCCATTCATTTACTGATAAAGTCTATCGGAAGTTTATTAACTCTGAAGCTGTGTCAACAGTCTTTAAATGTGTGCATGTTAGATTAGTGTATTAACTAACAGGGATCAGGTTATATGATGCATTCAAAAGGAATAAACATCTCAAGCTCTCACATATTGGTCTACGTTCCTACCGAAATCCACTGCATTGCTCATGTGCACATCCCTTCTGTTCGTCCCGTGACCAGCCCTCATCCCACCGCCATTCCATCCCCAGTCACCCCCCCGCGCTACCAGTCTGTGCGCGCTGACGTCAGTGCCTGTGTGTGAATGAACCTTGGGCAGGATAGAGGATCATGTGAGAAGATGTGACTCAGGCTTAATGGTAATCCTTGCCTTTGGTAAAAAAAAAAAAAGAAATGGCACAGTGGGAGTCATTAGCGGGGAGCTATACAAGCAGTTCATATGACTGTCTCCCCCTCCCCTCTAAGACAATGCCTGCAACTCCTGATTACTCTCTCACCTCACGTCCCCCTGTCTCTCTGTTGACTGCATGAAAAACAGACAAATATTTCTCTCTCTCTCTGAAAGTCCCATGTTAACACACCGCTTGAGGCAAAAGTAGTGAGGCAGCCGTTCCCAGCAGTGCTCTTTTAACCAACCCGAGTCATCAACACTAACCAGGATACTTTCCCTTACGTTAACCAACAACTTAGTTTCACCCAAACTATATTTTCCTAACCCACCCAAAAAAAAAGTTACCATGGTGATATTTGATGTTAAAACAGATTTGTGAAAATTAGAGGGGACTGATTTACCAGATTTCCATTCAAACTCAAGGCAAATATTGTTTTCAGAAAAACAAACATGTGACTTAAGGCGCATTGGAAATATTAAGAGTTGGGTTGGCGGGAATTTTTTCCAGATTTTTCCGCTTCGCCACGTGTAAAAACCCCCCATCTTTTTCAAGTTTACATAAATAATTTAATCCCAGGGAAATTTTCTTTAAGGTTATCTAAGTAGACGGTGAAAATTGTTTATATTTGTTTTTGTGACACATGGTACTGCTATTTAATATCAAATTAGAATCAGGAAAAGCTTTTGAAAATCTAAAGCTGGAAATACGGCGAGACTTCTACAGAAAGTTCACTTCCTAATTGAGCTGGGAGGAATGGAGGTCCATCCTCGGGACTCTGCTGACCCAATAAAGCAGGATCAGAGCTAAAGCTCTGATAGATAGATAGATAGAGATACTTTATAGATAGATACTCTGGGGCAGTATAGTGGGATGTGTGTGTGTGTGTGTGTGTGTGTGTGAGGGGTCCTTTCGCCTTCACACAGCAGATTTTCTTGCTTCATTCCTTTAACTGCACATACAGCAGAAGGGGCACTCACCAGCAGTTGTAACTGCAAAAGGTGTCTTGGTGCCCAAACACAATGTACGTATGTACAGAGTACGTATTGTGTTTTCCTTGCTTGGTATCTCAAATGAATTACCAAAACTAATGCAAAGACCATTGCAAAACCAACAATGTGATAAAAAGGTACGACAGGTCTGTTAACCCACAGTGACAACATTTCTCACAGACAATTAGGCTGGTTATGACCTTATTTTTGTGCTGAGAAGAAATCAATTTGGATCGTTGAATGGAAACAAAAAACTCCATTAAGTTTCATGCAACTTCTGCCACGGAAGACAAATAAGAGGATGAATGAGGGAATGCATTTCTATGGCAAAGAGCAGAAGTCTATTTGCTGGAAAAAAAGAATAGACTTGTGAACAGCAACAGCATAATCACAATGCTCTAAGCATGCCAATGGTCCCATGCTTGAAATCCAACACAATGATATTTACTACCATCAGCATGGTGGCAGTAGTGCTAAATGTGACAGAATACAACCAGTTTGAATGCAATTTTCACAAATTCTGAACTGCTACCAAAGAATAAAAAACAGCCTTCAACTTTGCTCACAATTGATCTCTTCACCGTGTGTAATACAGCCGGAAAACCAGCAGAGGACAGTGACATCTTATGTAAAGATTGGGGCCAAGAGGAGCACCCATACAGTGTTTACCACAGATCTGGGTAGGAATCAATCTACCCTGAGCCAACTGTACATTGTGGACACAACATTAGAGTTTTCTCTGCCAAAATATTAGTTATCAATAACCCTAATATTGACAAATGCGACTCCTTCGTGAAAACATGTGTTGCTTTCAAATCAAGTCATCGTCAAGTTTACAGGCAATATGATGCAAAAACGTTTGGGATGAGAAGGTGTGTCCAAACCTTTGACTGGTACTGTAGTGCAGAACCACATTGGTTTCACAAAAATACAGAATAAGCATTTTATGTGCGTGTCAGCCGGATAGGGCTTCATTTGTTTTGCTTGCGAACCTCCCAGAATGTAGTGGCGGCTCGAGGTGGGCTGACACCCTGACGAATAGCAGGAGTTAGTGCCTCAAATGAAGGCCTCCACCAACATCGGTAGACTGTCCACTTAGCACATGCACCGACATCTTAAA